TTTTACACTGCCAGATTTTCGGCGAATGTTGGGCCATTTTGCCGGCAAGCTGAGAGCGTTTAGACACACAGAGTTAGATTGCCGATTTGATCCGAGGTGCCCAATTTTCCGCCTCGTAGGGTAGTCATATTGGCGGAACCTTTTTGATTTAAAAAGAACGAGGCAGCCTTCCGCCACGGGAGGGGCTGTTGATCACTTGTGGGAGGAGCTGTTGATGACGCCGCACGTGCGACCCACTGGCGGTGGATAAACAGGAAACAGCTGATAGCAGGAATGAGCAGCTAGTAGCAAGAGGGAAACGCCTGAAAGACACTGTAAAGATGAGCAACTGGAGAGACAAGGTATTGCGCACCCTCCTTGCCCTCGCAAACGAAGAGGCCATTAACTGTCAGATGACAGGAACGGTGAAGAACGGGCCGACTTATGAGAGAATCGCCGAAGGACTGACCAGCTGCAGCTTCCCTCCCACGTCACTGGTTACGTCTTAGCTGAGCTACACGTTTTGTTACTTGCTCACGCCCCCCATTGCCCCAGAAAAGGCGCATTCTGTATGAACAAAAGTAGTAGGCGCATTTTGCTGCACTCTCCGATTTTGCTTTTATACTGCCAATGCTGAAAGAAGACTCATTGGGCTTTCCTGCAAATATGCACAATTCCTATTTAAAAAGGGCTATAGAGACAGACAACCATTCACACTCACATTCACAAATTTAGAGTCACCAATTAACCTGCATGTCTTCGGACTGTGGGAGGAAGCTGGAGTACCTGAAGAAAACCCACGCTGACACAGGGAGAACATGTAAACTCCGCACAGAGGGGCTCTTCCATCCTGGGGTCTGATCTGGGAACCCTCTTGCTGTGAGGCGACAATGCTAACCACTGCATTACCGTGCCGCCCATAGTGGCTAACTGTAACATGATTTTAGGTGCATTGACTGAAAACTGATGTTTCAAAAATGTACTCTTGTCTCTCATGACCCCACCCCCTTTGAAGCTTTGATTACTGGCAGGGTATTTCTCACTGAAGCTTCAATGCCCAAAACTGGTATTCAGGACAGTCCTAGATAAGATAGGCTGACATTTATGTTGCAGTGTCTTTAAAGCACAGAGAAATTACCCTGATGTTCACATGTTAGTTTATGTTCCGAAACCCATGACATGCCTTCTTGGATTTCTCCAGTAGTCATTCCTGCCCTATGCCCGAATTTTTTAAATTCTCCAGTCGTAGTCGCAGCTCTGTTCATGTTTATGTTAATTTGTTTATGGGCTTTTTTCTGTAAGCCGTTACATAACTCTTTATCTAGGACAGCAAAGAGAGGTCTGCTTCTGTCTCAGTTTTCTCTTTTGATGTGTTCAGCAGCAATGCGCAAGGCAGCGTCTCTGTACTCTTAACTACAAATTTGGTTACTGGTTCGGGAGGAATGGAGAGGAAGTGTGTGAGCGATGCTTTAAGAGCTGACATAATCGTAGCTCACACATTTTTTCCCCCTCTCTAACAGAAATTTATCAATCCCCACATTTCCTCATACCACATTTTCCCACTCTAGTATTTCCCCCTAGCACGCCCTGCTTCTGATGTCCCGTGTCTTCATGGCTGTCTGACTTGGTGAGATGAGACCCAGAGGGCCTACTGTAGGGAAGAAACGGCTTAGGTTATGACTAGTAGAGTGGTGCATCCCTGTGTGTCTGTGCTCTGTCAGGCCCATTGTTCTGCAGGCGATGGAGCCCTCCAAGACACTTATTTAATGAGACGGCTCTGACTGTGTAATTGCAGGCTGCTCTGAGAGCTATTATGGGAGATGTATTTTAGGGGGGCAAAACAGCCATTACTGCGACAAAAACGAGCAGCAAAGTCCCACAGTGGCACTGAAGCTGATACGAGGAGGCCGAGCATCCTACTGCCGTTCACACATGGATCAATTCATATTGTGTCTCAGTTCGTTCAACTCCTGGAGCTGATGTTTTGTTTTTGTTTTTTTTACTACAGTGACTACATTTACATGCACAAAGTATTCCACTTGTTACCCTTCTTCTGAGAAGGACAATGGCCTTCATTTATGAAATAAACGTAAGACACAAAACTGGGTGTTCAGTCATTTCCACGCAAGGTTCGACATTAATCAGTTTGATGTGAACGGAGGCTACAATCAAATCTCACGCCAGGTCGCAACTAGCGTATGCAAGTCTGAGTCAACATGGGTTTGCGGTGCAGCAGAGTAAATCTGACTGAGCTGGTGAATTGATATTTGACCATATTTTGACTGGCTTGTAAGTATTTTCAGCCACATATTAATCACTTAAAATGTATAGCCGCCACATGGACGCCAGCTCTCTGTCACAGCTCCTTTTGCCTGGTTCTGTTGGACCAGCTCCAAGGCTGAACACCACTGGTGCCCACCTTTTAATATTTCTAGCCTATTTATTTATCCTTTTTATTTAAACACTGACAAAACTGAAGCATGTTTATTTCACGTATGATTAAAACAGCATTAAAAAGAAATGACTAAACCCTGCAATAGTGTAATTATTAAAATACTAGTGGCCTAGTTGATAAAGTTTTTACTTGTCCAGCTCAGACACAGGTCCAATTTGTCCAATACTCTGAATAATGTCCCCTATCATGTCATTTATCATGTTGAAATATGGAAAAGTGGAATTGCTGAAGCTGCTTGTGCAATTGTGCTTCTTTGCGTCAAAATAGGATTTTTCCTAAATTTTTCACTGGTGGTGGAGTTGTTCAACCGTGTGAACACAGATTCTCTCTTTCGTTCCTTCAACCATCTTTTTTAAAAGGTTGGCATTGCAATTTTTTTACCCATCTAAAAACCTGTTGATATCAAAGTCTTTCATAATGTTTAAAATGCAGGTGTGTTTTTCTTCTGACCAGAAATGTTATCTTTTGGACATGCATCGTTACCCCACAGCTGTGCAAACTGTCAGCGAATTGGTTTGTGTACAAGCATTGACAGTGCACACAGCTGACTGTAAACAGACAAGATGCCGTGTTCTGCAAACTGCATTAAAAATGCCAAGTGAGACGCATATTCTGAATGCGCTGTACACATGTTCAAAGAATGCTCCTAAAACCCAGATATCGGCACCATGACTCAGGATGCTTTCAGACCTAGAGTTGTCTTGCTTTGGTCTGAATCTGGGACTAATTTTGTTACAAAGCTGCATTATTGCGTAGAGTTGGTTAGTGTTCTCACGGCAGCGTTTACAAGTGGACCAGATAAAATTCCTTGTGCAAGAAAGCTGCTCAGAATTTCCATGTAGGAAAAATCCAGGAAGTAAACAAAACGTTGAAGAAGAGTACACTTGCAAGATAAATGTGACACTTTATAATGTCACAATGGAGGGACAACTACGCAGGTTGATTTTAGCGCTGCTCATCGTGGACTATATTGCTGTCATTGTTCATTTTAGTCAAACCATACAGTTTGAAAACGAGGCGCGGCTCCAACTAGAAAACAATGTTTTGATGCATTGGATGTGCTGAATGTGCATATTAAGGCAGTACAGGAGGAGGTGCACATTAATAATCCTCCAGGACTGTAACATGCTCATGTTTAACCCAAACAATGTGTCATATGACTGCAGTTGGTTCAGATCCAGGTCGGAACACTTTCTCAAACTGCACCAGAGTTCGTTTGTAACCAGATCGAGACCACCTCTTCAAGAAGGTCTCGGTCTGGTTGTTTTGGTGCACACCCGAGTGGCAAATGAACCTGAGTTCGATTGAACCGAACCAAACAGAGCAGGTGTGAAAGCACTCTTAATTGGAAAATGCTTCATTTAGAAATTCCAATTTGGAATATCCCAACAGATAATGCTGTTTACATGACTCATGTCAACCAGAATCAGAATATTGTCATATTTGGAACAATAGTGGAATATAAGAGTGCATATAGTCAATAAAAAAAGATGTGCGGATCACTAGTGCTGCTGCTCTTTTTCCTCGTGTCGTCTCCCTAAAGCCTTTATTCATAGAAAATACTTTCCAGCTTGCATCAAAATCCAAGCTAGTCATAATTTATGAAGCTGTTCTAATGCCAGATCAGTAGTTTGCATTGGTTTTGAGACAGCTTTTCTATAATATATCAAAGGCAAAGCAAATATTAAAAAAATAGATTTCTTACTTTTTTCATTTACTCTACTCACCCATCCATGATTGATTCTCTGTGAGCCGCACTGGTTTTGCTCCCATTCTCTTTCTGTTTGGCAAATGACTCTCAGATATTTGGTTCACCAGTGCTGGGATTTCCATGTCGCATGATTTATTTAGGATGTGTTAAGGTCTTTCAGAGAGCCTCACATCTCAGTCCTGGCACTCCGTCTCACCAGACATCCTTTAGCCTCTTAAATTACCCCCCCCCCCCCCCCACCCCACCCCAATTGCCATTCTCCTTCCCACTCTCTCTCCACAGCGCTCTTTGCAAATTAAAGAAACAAACCAATCTGAGCTGACAGCTGAGTTCAGCTCCAGTGAAGGAGAGTGCTGGGCTAATGCTGGTCTACCTCACGCTTTACCCCTTCGATGCTTTTAGGCTCCGTCCTAGCGCTTTGTTTGTTGGTGCTTATACTGCATAACAAAAGCCTTTTCTACTTCAGGACTTGGCCCAGAATAATCAGGCTGAGGAGGAGTTAATGTAAATTAGACATGATTAGCTCATTGTAGCTGCTGCTCAGCACTGGTAGTGTCTCCTTTACTTCCTGGTTTTCTGGTTCGATGCTGCAGCTGGCCTGTGCTTCTTCATTCCTGTCCTCTCACGTGTTGTTTTGAGAGACGGAGAGAGAATGCATGAACGTACGCCCCCACCTGTGTGTAGTTGGGACTGATGTGAACTAGCAGCTGTGTGAGAGTGGGGCCCTGAGATTGCAATCACAACAGAGTCAGTCACACCCACAGTTGAAGAGTTTACAGAGGGATAGGCTTGTGTTTGTTTGGTGTGTGTGTGTGTGGTTTGTTATGGAAGCCTAACAGTCCTTTCTCTTTACAGCATCTGGAGAGGCCCCAATGTGAATTGTGTGGACAGCACTGGATACTCCCCTCTCCACCACGCCGCCCTAAATGGACACAGGTAGATCAGTGATAAATAACTGAGGGAATTGGGAGAAACGCTTGTGTTGGAGCCTGTTTCAGCTCCTCTGTTCATGCTCTGCATTAAATGAGGTCTGCCCTGACATACAATTGTCCCACTGGGGAAAATAAAGCTATTGACTGGCTGTTTGCTAAGGCCGTGTGTATTCATTAGTGTGGTCCCTTCCTTCATCTGCAGCGAGGTGGTGGAGGCGCTGCTACGAAACGAGGCCTTGACGAACATCGCCGACAACAAGGGCTGCTACCCTCTCCATCTGGCTGCGTGGAAGGGAGATGAACATATTGTCAAACTGCTCATTCACCAAGGACCTTCACACCCCAAACTCAACGAGCAGGTCTGCCGCCGCATTTAATCTTCTGTTTGTCTGTGTGTGTTTATGGTGTCGTGGTTTTACTTTTCAAGGTCCAGTGTGTAGGATTTAGGGGCATATATTGGCAGAAATGGTATATATCGTAAAAAAGTATGTTTTTTTAGTGTATAATCACCTGAAATTAAAAATCATCCTGTTTCCTGTGTACCTTAGAATGAGCCGTTTATCTCTACGCAGGGAGCTGGTCCCCTTCCAGAGTCCACCGTTTTGCACTGCCATGACTCAGAACAGATAAACCTGAAACACTAGCTCTAGATAGGGCCAGTGTGAAATAGGGAGAGAGAGAGTGGGGGGATGACATGCAGCAAAGCCGGAGTTGAACGCATGACCGCTGCAGCAAGGCATCGCCTCTATACATGGGGTGCCAGCACTATCCACTAAGGTACCGATGCCCCTGAATTCTTGTTTTTAATCTGTCATCCAAAAAAAAATTGTTACGCACAGACACCTTGCACACTGAGTCCGATGCGTTTTATTATTCTATATGTTACGAAAATTTGCAATACGTGACAAAATAAACAGACACATTTCCTCCTTTGCCTCTCTCCACTTGACCACTTGATGTTACCTATCTGGCTGTCACCACTCCCTCCCTCCCTGTCTTGAATATGGCACCGCAGCTGCATGAAGGGGCGCAGCTGTCCTCCGTCTCTGTCTCCACATTCTGTGTGCGGTCCTCATCCTCCTCCTCTTCATCATCCACCTGAATATTACTATCTGACCTGTTGAAAGTAAGCTATTGAGTTATGAAATGAGTCTCTGTGCCTAATTCCTCGTGTCCCGCCGCCACATTTTCTTCACTGATTCTTGGTGAAACGTCTCTAAAGGCTTCTGATGGATGTGAAAAAGAGAACCTGTTCCTAGAATTTAAATGTCGTATTTATTTTTAGATGTGTGACAATTTTGGACAAAAAAACGGACTTAGTGTGCAAAGGCCTTTATTCTGCTAACGGTAAAACCTTCCTGAACATCTGGATTATAAGTTATCAGAGAAAAAGGTGAGCACACGTTAGGCTAGCAGCCTGTCTGTGATGTGCTGAACAGCGTTAAAGAAACAATCATTTGTAACAAGAAACAGCTTTATTCAGTGGTTTTGAACTAATTTTAATCACCTGGTTTGTGTGTTTTGGAGAGGACGCGAGCTCTGTGGATAATTCAGCTCCTGCTACAAAAACCTCCCTAACAATGAACACAAAAGGAATCATAACTGAGAGAAGTTTCACCTGGTTGCAATCTGCAGTCCTCAGCACTGGATGCCACTGAATCCCCCTAAATCTTACACACTGCTCCTTTTGAGAACAAATACTTTTGGGTTTGAGTTGTGAAATGACGTCAGTACTAAATTAATTTGCTCCTCATTCTTTCCAGAGTTTGCTAAAACCTGTGAGTCAGTGTATGCAGAAGACGTAGAACAAAATTTGCTTTTTAGCACATTGACCTCTTGTAGTTTCACTCTTACTCTTCCAGTCATGGTTTGGTCAGCAGTTGTAGGAAGTTGATCATTTTTCCACTTAGTAAGGAAGTCAAAAAGCTACGTGGACTTATTTCTAATTCTAGTCCAGCATGGCATGCTCTATACTGTATTTGAACAAAATGAATGTTAAAAAGACTGTGACCAGAGTGCATTAACCTCAGTGCATCATGAGTCTGACTTCTACTGTGATACTTTAAGTGCCTTGATGCCATGCCAGTGTGAGAAGTGCTTGTTTGGCCCCTAACCATTTTAACAGTTTTAACTCATATGTTTTCATTTTTTGTTTGGTTGCTTTACTGCACAGACAGCGTCCAGACCGGCTCCATCTCTGGCCTGTCCTGTTTGGGATGAGGAGAAATGACCCATTATGAGCTCCACATAATGTCTCAATCAAAAATTTGATCAAACACCTTCAGATATAGCCAAATGTGAAAAATATAATTGTCTCATTTTGTGTCATTTCTCCCTGCCTGTTCATGACATGATTGTCCATTAACTCAACTCTGATTTTTTTCTCCTTTTATTTAGTTTGACTCATTTGTGATCATCATTCATTCGTTCATTGCTTGTCTGAACCAAAACCATTGGCTTATATTCTCTTCCTCCCTCCCAGAGCTCTGTAGACCATAAAGAGTTCAAACGCTGTGGGCCCTTTGACCCCTATATTAATGCCAAGGTGTGTACACAGTGCTGCCGAAACAACATTTCCTTTGTGCAGTTCTTCTTTGCTTTACTGCTGTGTATTCTTGCTGTGCTTGGGTTTGGTTTGTTGCTGCTGCTGTTGCTTGCGGGGCCACTCTGCTGCAGAGATACGGGAAGGCTTTTAATTTCACCGTCTATCAGTAGATCCCTGTCCTCTGGCTTTCTACTTCTGTTGCTTCTGTTGTTGTGATCTCCAACTTTATTGAGGTGTAGGGTTGGGTACTGTCAATACTACCAAGAACCATTTCTCGATAAAGCAATCAGTGCCAAATTTCAGAAGCTGTGAACAAAGTGCACAGTGTTTGTGGGTAGTGAGTGTGTTGTTGAGAGATAGAGAGAGTGACAGTGGCTGTGCTCGGGGCAGACAGGTGTTGGCCACTGTCTAGTGGCAGTAAATGTACAGTATAGGTTACATTTTGCCCATAAATAAACACTGCAGCTCCTCAGTGCCCAGGAAGTTCCTGTGTCTTGTTTTCCAGCTGCTTGGCAAAAGGGCTGGGAGACTTTGCTGCTCTCTGTCCAAAAACACAACACTGTGCTCTGCCTGGGTTGCAAAATAAATATATTTATTTAGTGCCTTTTCACTGAGTATTAACCTCACATTTATGTGCATATTGTTGAACAAAAATGGACTTAAGGTATAAATAAAGGACCTGAAGCATAGTTAAAACACTTCAGGTTGTGGTTACACCCATGAGGCAGGTGCACTCTAAAATGATTCATGGGGTTAGTGGATAATGCATAAAATAAAGATGTTTTTCAGCATTGAAATTTTTTTTGCTTTGCTCTGGCACTGCCCAGGAGTCACACCATATTGGCAAAATATTTTTCAGTCACTATCAGACGTCCTGGGTAGACCTGTGGATCCTGATCCACTGACTGCACTCGTTGATATTAAAGGTTCTGATCTTGTGTTAACCAGCTTCCAGCATAACATATTTGTAACCCCACTAGCACGTAGATTGATATTATTACATTGGAGGTGAACACAGACTCCTGCCCATTCTGCCCCCGTGAAGGATATGATGCACCACCTGCATTTAGAAAAGATTAAATTCTCCTTAAGAGGGTGCGAAAACAAATTCTACGAGATCTGACCACTTTTAGAGAGATGCACTGAGTTCTTCCCCTTATTAGCCTAGTTTAAATGACACAAAACATGGTCAATCTGACATCCTGCTAAATCCCCCTATTTTTTGTCGTTTGTTAATTTTATTTTATCTTTTTTTATAGAACTACTATTATTGTTTTAAATAAAATGATATGATTTACTCGTAAATATTATATTTTACAAACTTTTTCTATATGTGCTTGACAAACCACCTCTAAGGGTATATCTGATTTTTGACTGGCTGAATATTTCCTATATTTTTGTACTAGAAATTCTACTTCCACTTTTATACCACTGCCACAGATTGTTTAACTTTGAAAACCCCAATAAAAGGAGTGAAAAGCGTTTTAGTCAGTTTACAACTTATTCTGAGAAGTTGGTCAAAATCAAAACATTGATAAGGATGGAATTTAAATAAATAAGCTAGAATATCTTACATAAAATATTTTGACCACTAAATATCAACACAACTTTCGGGTACAAATTGAGTTGGGTTAACTTCATAAAGCTTTTTGAGTTCAAAGCAAATCATGTTGGCTTTACTAAACTAATTGAGTTTGTCAGATTATAAAAGACTCAAAAGATTGACTCATTTATGCCAGTGTTGGAACTACTTAAAAAGATGCATGCACTCGTTACCTTAATTTTTCAAAGCTGAGACAGTGAATGATTTTTTGTGAGAGATGCAAGGCTGCACAGAGCCAGTGTTTTGATCAAGAACTCAATACATGTTTCCTCTTACCTAAACCTGAACCAAACCCTTAGCCCTGACCCCTGCATAGATGTTTGATTTGAGATGATGGAAGACTGCATCAGTTGTATGAGACATGTGAGTGGAATTTGCATGTGATAGACTTGTAGTCGAAACACGGAAGGCAGTAGCAAGCCAAAAGCAGGCACACCACAAGTGTGGTCACACCTTTTAAAACTTAACAGACAATGCTTGCTGCAGAATTTGTAATGTGAAATGCAAAGGCGGCCAGGGCAACACGTCTAACTTGAAGATAATGAAAAAATGTTTTAGATAAATAACAATGTGGAATTCACAAGTTTGGAGTTATTTTTAAAAGCTGCAATTACATTTTTATTATTGCAGAAAATAAAGGTAATCTGGGGTACTGGTACAGGTTCATGTAAATTATAAATGTATATTAAGTGTTACGAAAGTGACACTGCATAACAACAGGCCCTCCATCTCATAAAATAATCTGTTGTCTACATGTTACAATACTGTTGTATCAGCCTTTTGATCTGGGTGGAGAAGGCCTTGGACAACAATGCTCTTTAAAGTTAAGTAATGTTGGTCCTCTGAGGGCTACTGTGGGTGATTTGTAAGTCTGGTTGTTAATATTTTTTTTTGAGGTGTTAAAAACTGAAAAAATTAGTAATGAAAACTTGTATAATATGCAGCCTGGAGCATTTCAGTTGTTGGCACCACACAGCCAGCAGTAGGAGGAAATATTGACTGCTAGCAAACCACACTATCAATTAGAGCTACAACGACCATTAATGGTATTAAAAAAATCAACAATGGAAAGTTGACAAATGGATTAGATTACAGGAAGCCCTCTGTAACATTGGCTGCTGGATACTGTTGGATTGTTGCTACAAACTGAGTGCCAAATGGATGAATTGTGTAGTTCTGCAACTGATTATTTTTTTAATTACTATATTAATAATTTATGCTACAAATAACATGACAAACATAAGTTACCTCAATCCAGTCTGACCTGTAGCTACAACACCCATTTATTTTAATACACATAGGAAAACATACCATGTGTGCAGCTGTAACAAACAAAATGTTATTTTATTTTTAGCCGTGTTAGCAGCGTGGCTTTAGGTATGGCAGCGTCAACTGGTCCACTTTGGTCTGGACTGAAATATCTCAGAAACTAGCAAATCGATTGTCATAATTTTTGTTCATAAATAATTTGGTCCCCACCATGATGTTGATATTTGCAGTTTTTAGTAAAATGTCTTTACAAATATGGGACGGATCATCATGACATTTGGTACAGATGTTCATGTCTCCCTCAGGGTAAACTGAAATAACATGTCTCACACATCTAGCACCATTCACCAGGTCAAATATTAATCAGTCCAGTACTTGTTTAATGACCAAATACCTGCAAAACTAATGACGTTCCCATTAGTCTCAACAGTACTTCGCATTAGTTTGCAAATTTTAGCATTCTAACATGCTAAACTAAGATGGCGAACACAGCAAACGTTGCCTGTTAGACATTAGCATGTTAGCATGCTGATTTTTGCATTCTGCTGAAAGCACCTGTGAGCCATAGACTGTATAAAATATGGTAATGGTTGTTGACACTGTGACTTCAGCCATTGGTTTGTAGACTCAAGTTTTGAAGACTCAAGTTTGGCATTTTGACTGACACCATCTTGGATTTTGGAACCAGAAGTGACCGTATTTTGATGAGAGGATGGAGCTAACCCTAATGCTAGCTTAGTTAGGATAGGGCATTTATAGTCTATGGCTGACTGTGATAATGCGAATGCTAATTTTGGCTTGCGAAAAACAGGCTTAAAACCAATGAAACAAAGTGTACTTGGATAAACTGAACATTCGACTCCTTAGTTGGTCTTTTAGTACGACCAAACTCTGGACAAGACTTTTTTAGGTGACTAAAATGACCTGTACTCTGTAAATCTGGGGTTACACCATGGCCACATTACCTAAACAATGTTGTCACCGTGGTAGTGATTTGTCATATAAACATTTAAACAAGTGAGCTATATCAAAATTCACGCCTCAGACAGTTGTCATGAACATGAAAATTGGTTAAAGAGACCAAAACTGTTTTTTGTACCAGGCTATAAACATGTTTGTTTCTGTGTTAAGTTTGGCATTTTAACATTGACGTCTATGAGGATTGACCCACTTTTGGAGCCAGTCCCAAGTGGCTATGAAAGGTACTGCAGTTTTTTTGGTACTTCCACACTGGCTTCATTTTTCAGCCCCGGAGGTAGCAGCTTGCTATGAACCCTAAGTACAGCATCACCGAGCTGCTAGCATGGCTACAGACATGTTAGAAGTTCATAAAATAATTTTGTTATTGAAATTAATCAGTGTTCTGCTGATTAGATAATTTATGAACCAACTACTCATATTAGCGCAACTGTATTATTTCAAAGATCAATAAAACAACGCCTTAAAGATTTAGCAAAATAAAAAGTAGGCCTAGGGGAAAAAAATATTTCTCTGTTTCCTGTATAAAATCAGTCACTCATTAAGCTACCCACCCACTGGAGTAAAAAAGACCAGAGGAAGTGACCCGACTTTAACTCTTTATCTCTCATTAACATACTATATCAGTGGTTCTTAACTGGTGGTTCGCTGTCCAAAAGTGGGTCATAGATCCATTCTGAGTGGACTGCAAGTGACTGGCTGGCTGTTCAGCAGACACCACAGAGCTGACAGTGTCTCTGACAGTGTCTCCAACAGTGTCACCCTCACACATAGAGCAGTGAGCAGTGTGAACATGTTGGTCCCTCTGTGGTTGCATTTTCAGCTGGCAGAGCTGGAAACCCACCCAGGCCTGTAGATAAAGCTGAACGCTATTTTTGAACATTGTCGCATTTCCCCTGGTCTAATCTTCTTAACGTTTGGATGGGAAGGCTGGCTTTCTTTAATGCTGCTAGCCTATATATTGGTGTGTGAATTTTGCTGCAGTCGCTGTCTTACTTTCTTTTTCCATTTAGTCTGTTTGATGGATTTAACACTGAGTCTTGTGGCGTGTTGAGATTATGGATGATGTCTTAATGTAAACACTTTCGGGATAGTTTGGGGACCACTACCTGGTCACGAGCCTGAATAATTGAAGCCTTGTTATGAATAA